GAAGAAAATCAAAATGTTTTACCCTAAAATATATTTCTTTGCCATACCTCGGAATTGCCCTGCAAAGTCTCTTGTGGGAAAAATCCACATTCTACAGGGAATCCCTTTTCCCCCTTGTTTCCCTTCCTTCCTTTCCAGATCCAGGAGATAATCAGTTAAGAGCCAGGAACCCTTTCCTGTCTGATAAGAAACATTTTGCAACCTGCTATCTCTAAAGTCTGCGATCTGAGAGCTCTGCACAATAAAACTTGGTCTCCATAAGCCTTTATCTTAACCTGCACATTTCCTTTGATCTCAGGTCTTCAGATAAACTCAACTAATTGTCAACCAGAAAATGTTTAAATTTACCTATAGCCTGGAAGCCCTTGCTTTGGGTTGGCCCGCCTTTCTGAACCAAACCAATGTATTTCTTAAACGTATTTGATTGATTTCTCATGCCTCCCTAAAATATATAAAAACCAAGCTGTACCCTGACCACCTTGGGAACATGTTCTCAGGACCTCCTGAGGGCTGTGTCATGGGCCACGGTCACTCATATTTGGCTCAGAATAAATCTCTGGAAATATTTTATAGAATTTAACTCTTCATCAACAGACTCATAGTATTTAAACAAAACTTTTAATAAAATGTGACCTTTTAAAAATCAAGGATACTATCTAAAAATTCAAATCTCTTACTATTCTTAAAAAAACAGTATGACACTGTTATCAAGTGGGAATAGGGGAAAGTAGCAGGGATTGCACAGAGACCCTCTCCTTGTGGCCTTCCCAACACTGAGGCAGAACTGTTGTCATTTATCACTGTCCCTATGTTGTTTCTTCTTCCCTCCCACTTCGCTCACTCCAAGTGTCAGCCTGGCTCCAGTCCCCGTGTGAGGCTGTAACCTTGTTTAGTTATTAATACTTGTTTATTTGTCTCTCAAACCTACAAAACTGTAAGTTTCTTGAGAGCAAGGACTTGTTTTTCATTCATCTTTATTTCTCCTATACTCCCTCCCATCCAACCATAGTACTTATTTATCAACTATTTCCTGAATTTAGCCAATTATCCATCAACAAAATAGGAAAAATGTTAAAACTTAATTCATTGTGAATGTTACTCCTTAAGATCTAGCAGTTGGTAGGACTGCATCTTTACTATATTTAAATTCACTTCAAAACTCAATGATAACCCTTTTTCATATCTAAGTCACAAATAGGCTCTTTTTGAGGGTAGAGTGAATGAGAGGCTGAGATGTAGAAATGGAAGGAAGAAGAAATCATGTCTTGAAGGCCTACTATGTGCTAGGTACTGGTTGTAGGCTAAATAATAAAATGAGGGAAGGGCAAATCTAGAAATAAAGGAAGTGTTAGGGAAGAAACCTACGTTGGAGCGGGTAGGAACAGCATTCCAAGACAGCCAGGAGGATTCTGCAATAAGCAGTTCAAGCACAGAGCTGCCAGGTCGGGGGATAGTTACTTTGTATAGTTACTTTGTAGAACATTTACAACATTCTTAGAAGTGGTGAACTGATGCCACCTGAAGAGTCTATACTGAAGCCTATGACCTTCCCTGTTCCCCCAACTGGGGACTCTTCTCTTTTTAATCAAAGCAGCCAATTTAATTACATCTACATTGAGAAAGTCTCACTAGATATCCCTAGAAGTGAAATCGATCATAAGGAAATGTATCATATAATCCCTGCTGTCAAAACAAAAGAAGAAAAATCTGAAATCAAAAATAGTAGATTTCATTTAAGAGTGTAACAGCTTGAATTAAAAATCATAAAGCAAATACTTTGGCCTAACAGTGCTTGACATGTTGTTCTATAAAACCCTTTAAAATAAAATTTTCTTAAGATAATGGTAGATTCACATGTAGTTGAAAGATATAATATAGAAATATCTCTTGTACCATTTATCCAGTTTCCCCCAATGGTAACATCTTACAAAACTACAGTACAATATATCAACCTAAGATATTGATACTGACAGAGTCCAGACAAAGCACATTTCTGTCATCACAAATATCCCTCATGTTGCTATTTTATAGCCATATCCATTCCCATCTGCCCTCCTGCCTAATTTTTTAACCTTTGGCAACCACTAATCTGTTCTCCATTTTTGAAATTTTGCAATCTGCAATTTCAATAATGTTATATAAATAGAATCACACAATATGTAATCTTTTGGATTGGCTGTTTTAACTTAAGTTCTCTGAAGATAAATCCTGCTGTAAAACCATCTAACTGATGCCAATCATGGAGCAGAATCAAAATCTAGTAAACAAAGAGCTGGGGTTCTCTGATGACTCACGTGAAAGCAAAGGGCACAAGAAAGATTAAATTTCATTGTCCTTTGTTTGTGACAGGTTTCTCTGTGTTTTCCTACCACCGTAAAAATATAAAAATATTCTCATTGTCAAACTGTTTTACTACCAAGACTATTTTACACAGTGGGATTATAAACTTTTATGTTTGTGTGGCCATCAAGGTTTGTGAAGCTTGTCTCAGAAAAACATGCCCAATTAAGAAAGTTCAAAATCATCCTTATTTATATTAATCATTTCCGACGTATACCAATTTACAATGAACTTACTGAGTTTTCCACTTAGAACTCAGTCTTCGCTCTCTCACAAAACAAAAATAAGTCTCACTGGAATTCCTGTTGTTGAAAACAGGAGCCCTTATGTTGTGTTTTAACCACTGCGGAGAAGAATCGAGTGCATCTGTCAGCTCCAAAATCGAAAAAACTACAAGGTGATTTGTTTGTTCTCCAAATTTTTCCTTTAACACACTTAGGATGTCATTCATAAGCACTTCTGATACCTGCCAACCTTGGCAACAGAATCTCATCCCTGAATGTTATTTTAAAAGGAAAAGCAAGATCTTGACCAGATAATTGCCCAGCTTTCACTCCCTATCATTTTAAAAAACAGATACCAAATAGGCTCATCTCACATTAGCAAGTCGACAACACAAAGAACAAGCTACAAATAATGAAAGGATATGCAATCTGTTGCCAAGTTTCTACAACACGGCCCTAAAATTCATCCATCTTTTAACCAGACCCAGGTACTCTACTGGTGACAACGTCTTAAGCAAGTCAAAACTCATTAGTCACCAGACACATGATTACTAGATGAAACACATACTCTAAGTTTCTAACCTACGAATTTAAAAGAAAAACAGAAAAATAAAGCCTCCAGACAGTTCCTTCCAGTGTTTGTAAGGCTAATAAACGACGGAAAAAAAATTGAAATGATGTTAAACATTTAAATAATCACTTGTCCAGTTAAAAAAAAAAGAACAGCAATTGAATATCTACTTTCTCAATAACCGTACTACATGCACATGTGTATGTACACAACACACAACACACACACACACGCCTTTAGGACCAATTTCCATAATACAATCTTAAACTACCACTCCTTTCCCTGCTCCCAGAAGGGACCTAAGGCAAGTACCAATGGTTCCATTTAGACTCTGGAAGTCAACCAGGATAACAGTAAACACTCCTTACTCTTTGGTGTTAGCTCACTGACACAGGTGTCTCCCAGTCCCAAGAGAAAACTCCTAGAGGGCAGGGACCCATGTTCCATTGATCTTTGTATGCCCCACAGTGCTAGAATCTGCAAAATGTTCTACACAGTGAGCACTAAAAAGAAATGTTGAATGTTAAAGAAAAAAATTAAAAACTAGATGTACTTAAGAAGAGCTCTATAGAATTCTGGAATGCAATATGCAAATGTTCTCATTCCTAAACCTCCCAAAGAAGGTAGAGAATATTTAGTTTTGTGGCATTGTGTCCAAAAGCTTATGCATGGACTTTAAATAACGTATGTATGGCTCAATTTTCTCATCTGAACAATGAGGATAATAAAAATACCTGACAGTTAAAGACGTTGGTATAGATAATGTCTCCTTAGACCAATGACTCGAACGCTATACACATTCCTTATTAAGGATTAGCTACTCATTTTACTGGAAATAATAAATAATACAAATAAATAAATAAGGTCCACACAGCTCTGCAAAGGAGACCAAAGCTTAAATTAGCCTAGAAGACATAATATCACGGTTTGGCAAACTTTTCTGTAAAGGGCCAGAGACTACCGTAAATATTTTAGGCTTTACAGGACAAGCCACAATACCCTGAACCCTTGCAGCAATATTCTCCCGGAAAAAATTGGCAGGTTTTTTGTTTACATTTTACATTTTAGAATTTAAGAATCATTCTTAGTTCACGGGGCCATACAAACATAGGCTGGATTTGGCCCCCAGACTCTAGTTTGCCAACCCCCGGAAAAGATAATAATGGTAATACAGTCAGTGTTTTTAAAGCAACATAAAGAAATGTTTGTGAATTGCTTAAAGGTAACTGAAAAACTTGCGGCCCCAAACTTATAAAATCCAGACCGGCGGACCAGCGCGGTGGGGAATAGGGCTAGGACTAGGGCCGGTCTTCAGGAGCCGGAGCGGACCTCCACGGCTCTCGGGGTCCGCCGAGCCCCCGTCCACACTTACTCCCAGCAGCGGTCCGCGGCCGATCACAGTCTCCCCGGGCGCCAGGGCCACCCGTGGACCGCCGTCCCGCGGCTGCAGCTCGAAGCCCCCGGGCATGGCGGGCAAGGATTAGGCCCCTTCGCCAGGAAACTGGCCCCTCCGCTGTTTCCGCGGGGAAAGCTCAGGACTTGGGAAAAACAGCGGGGGAGGGCCGCAAAGGCTCCCCGCGCCTGCGCCGGTCCTGTCAGAGCCCAGCCCCAGCGCAGTTTCCCGAGTCCCGTCCCTCCACGCCTACTGATGACGCAATCGGGGATTCCCCAGTCACGCCGCCTCAAAATTATTGTTTAAAAACCCCGGCTTATTCCCCACCACACTTTTCACCTCCCTCCCTTCTTGGAGGACGCCGGGCCTTGTAGTCCTGGCGCCTTTCTTCACTTCCTTTCCCGAGCTAAGACGCCCTGGAAAAAACTACCAATCCCCAAAGGCACTGCGCGCCCCTCTCGGCGCCTGCGCGAGTTCCGAGTCAGCAGGGTGGGGCTTAGGTGGGCGGGAAGAGAAGAGCTATGGGGAAAGATTCGAATTCCGGAGGATTTAAATCGCGGGAGGAGACGCCATCGCAGCCCAGTAGGTAGGAGGATCTTCCATTCCCGTTGGCTTAGATGTCTACGCTCCCGGGGACGCGGCCCTGACGCAAGCTCAGCCTTCCCTCCGCGGCCTGGAGCCGCAGTGACAGCGCTGACGGTTGTTGTTGTCACTTGTCAGTGCTCCGTGTTCTTGGCTTCCAGCAGCTGCAACCCGCGCAGGACACAAGGAGGGTGGCTCAGATGGGACGTGGGGTGATTAGCCCTGACCCGCGGGATGTGGGCAGAGTGGGGCTCCCCGCCCCTCCTTCTGCGCTGCCGCCAATCTATCCCTCCGAGTGATAGTTGAAAGGGAGACGAGCTTTTACCTCACTTGAGAGAGAATTCAGCAAAGCTCGATTCATAAAGGAGAAAGGGCAGAAGAGGGGTCGTTTCCAGGCATCCAGGCGAACCTGGACGTAGAAGAAAGATTCCTAGTGGGATTTTAGAACCTCGCCAAGGCATCCCCTGCTGTGAAATTCAAAAACCTTCATTCCCGTTGCAGGAATTCCACAAGGGGAGGCATTTTATTCTCCCAGTAAGATCCTGGGAGAAGTGGATAAACACACCGTAACGTTTAAATACACTGTAACGTTTTCCTAATGTGAGATTCTTTTTAAGAACCTTGTGGTTTGGCTTTGGTTTGTATTGGTGGTGGGAGGGGCCAAGGTGCATGGCAAAAACTTGCTCTTGACTCACTCGTTTTTACCAGTTTGCTTTCTTACTTCCCCAAACCCTCAAGAGGAAGACCTCTGTTGAACACAGACTACAGTTCCAGCCACCACAGCTAATCTGGATCATGAATGGGAACCACCGTGGTCTTGTGAAGTCCAGAAACATAGCTGAGTAGCTCGTCTAGAAAAGAGATTTGTGTTCAGCTGAGTTAAAAGAAGTATTTAGCTGTATCTCAAACCCCTCCTCTTGCACATCCAACCCCCATTATAAAAGGAAGTGCAAAATGGAATAAACTGATTTTAAGTGAATACCAGCTGTCTTTATATACAAAAGTAACTCAAGGGTGGTGATGTACCCAGTCATGCTTTCAACTGATTTGGGAAGCCTACACCATTCACCTTAGGTAAATTAGCTGAAACTGAGCTTTATATCTGGGCTTCAAATAGTCACATACTATACCTAGCTGAGTTCTCAACATTGTTTATAGTTGTCACTCACTGTTGCTTGATGTCTTCAGTGACTGTTACCCTTAGCTCGTAATTAACTATGCATATAGGATAGCTTCAAGGGGCCATTTCTTAAAACACCACTCTTATGACTGAGTTGAATATTTAAGACTTTGTTTCATAATCCAGATCTCATCTTCTTGTCCATTTCAGATAGTATTTGTGTCAAATGTAAGCACCTACCTACCCATTAGATACAAGTAATAAAATTCTTATACAACTAGAAGTCCATCTAGTTTGTGATTAAGTCACAAATTGCAAATTAATGATGAGGCATCAGTTCCTATATACAACAAGTATTCAGGAGTTTAATAGGATTGACTCATACATATTTTCAAAGGTACGAAAGTACTGGGTGTGGTGGCTCCTACCTGTCATCCTAGCACTCTGGGAGGCTGAGGCAGAAGGATTGGTTGAGGACAAGAGTTCGAGACCAGCCTGGGCAACATAGCAAAAACCATTTCTCCAAAAAACAGTTTTTGGTTTTGTGTGTGTTTGTTTGTTTAAAAAAAAATGAGGGGATGCTGAGTCAAGAGAATCGCTTGAGGCTGGAGGTTGAGGCTGTAGTGAGCTATGATGACACAGCTGCACTCCAACCTGGGTAAGAGTGAGGCTAATATGTTGAGGTGCCTCCCAGGTGCATTTCAGATGTAGGAAGACTAGGTGTTTTACACACTATCACTGTTAATCCTTGCAAGAACTTTCAGGAAAGGGGCAGCATTGGTCCATTTTACAGACTGAGAAGCAAAAGTCAAGAAAGAGTTCTTAAATTATACCCAAAAAGCATCTGACTCAAAGTAGGATTTCTACTCCTATTTGGAGACTGAGCATGTTTAAATCTTGCCTTTTAGGTTACATATGAGGATAATTTACTAAAACATTAAGCTATGCATAAAAACTCCAAGAGAAACAGTAGTTCAAGAGTTTCTCACACAGAAGTGAACTCTGTGGATGCTGAGAAGGAAAAAAATGAGAGTGAAAACAACTTTGTTGAACTGCTGCCTCAAGAACTCACTTTTAAAATTTTCAGTCAGCTGGACATTCGGAGTTTATGCAGGGCTTCATTGACATGCAGGAGCTGGAATTACACCATAAGAAACAGTGACTCTTTATGGAAACCTCACTGCATGACTGTAAGAGCTGTGTGCCGAAGAGAAATAGATGATGATCTAGAAAGTGGTTATTCCTGGAGGGTAAGTTTAATCTTTGCGATCTGCAGTGTTGTTGACAGTGTTATGATAGCAGATTTGAGTCAGTTCTAACTTATGCTTGGAGGAGACAGAATTGCATATGCAGAATAACATAGACAGTGTGTTGACTTTTGGAAATGAATTGAGCCTTTTCCTGCTAACCACACTCTTTCTACACTATCTTTCATTTATCCTTTTGCATTTTTTAAATTCTAAATTAGGGAATTTTCCCCTATTAACCAGAAGGGAATTAGCTCCTTCTTTTCACTTCACCTTATCCCAAACCCCCAGTAAACTGTATGGCGCACTCTGTATAAATACACATATACATACACACACGTACACAGACACATAAATTTATTAAAATATGTGTATATCAATGTAAATACTTACTCTTTTTTTCAGCCCTGTCAATCTGTTTCTCTTGCTTTAAACACATTCACTAACCAACCACCTGCTACAGTCTTTTTTAATGGTGATTTACCTCTTTCAGGTAATACTGCTGAGGAATTACCAGAAGAGTAAAGTGAAACACGAATGGCTAAGTGGCAGATACAGCAACATTTGTTCTCCCATTAGCCTACCAGAAAAAACCATGTACCCAATGGATGCAGATACATGGGGGGAAATTCTAGAAGCAGAACTGGAAAGATAAGGAGGAAAAAAAATCACAAATAAATCTCAGGTCTTTGAAAATTTAAAACTCAAATGAGTCTTAGGTTGCAAAAGCTATATCTTTATCCATTCATTTTGTTGTTGTTGACCTTTTTAAAAGAAAGTGAAATGGAAATATTATAAAAGTAAAGCTTTATTTTTGTTTTGCACTTTAGTAAAATTTTTCTGCTTTTATTGTAATGTGGAAAAATCATGAAATGTTATTTTTATAAGAAATAATATACTGATATAGTGATTTCCAAATATAATGTTTCATGTATTTGTGTTAATATATTCACAATACTAAATGAAAGAGTGATTTGTATGTTCAGCTTAATGATAATTCAAAATTTCAGGAAGCCACTTGAAACTGACTTAAAGATTCATTAAGTGGTGGATATAACTAGGCTCATGGGAAGACTAGCTAAGTGAAACTAATAGCAATACATTTAAATTAATACATTGGCATTTTAATGACTTTAACATTTCTATTTCAGTGGAATCAGATTGAAATATCAAATAGTGAAACTATGTTAAATGTGTTAAGCCTGTGGTTTAGTTTTAAGTTAATGTCATCTTTGGGATAAAGCTTGTCCAATTGTGATTCCCATTACTTTTATATAAACCTGGAATGGCTCTCAGGAGCTGAAAGTATGTGGAAAGTTTCCAGAACACTTAACTACCATCAGAATGCCACACTAGCCTGGTAAAACTCTCTTTCTGACAGCCTTATAGCACCATCTAGTGTGCTATTCTTAGATACCAAGACAAAGTTTTCTCCATATTAAAAACTATTATTCTAAAGAATCCTTAACACTTGTCTTTGTTAAAGTTTATAACTTTTTAGGAACCTTTATTTTAATTTTTTAAAACTTTTGTTTCTGTTTTTTCATAAAACAGATGATATACTACTCACTATAACAAATTGTTTATTCTGAATCTGTGGTTACCACCATAGTAAAAAGTGTCTACAAAATGCTTTAGTTAGTGTGGGGTTTTCTTCTTAAAAACTGTTCTCTATAGCATTAAATATAAGAATCCAGGAAACCAATATTTAACAAATAGGCAAATATTAGAAAGATGCCCCATTATATGCAAATTCCCTATGTTGAATAGAGCAGTAGATAATTAATTGTCTCCTACTATCTTCTTAGAGTTGGAAGATTCCTTGAAAATCAGGCAGTCAAGTCTCCAGGACTATTCAGTAATTTTCTTAATAGGAACACTGTCAGTCAGCCAGCCCAAGCTCAAATCCTGTACTTCTACTAAAAGCGTATATGTTATGTCACAGAACAGTCCAGTTGTAGTCTAGCCTTGAACTGAAGACCACCTCTCTGTAATGTTTGCCTTCTAGTCCCACTTCCACCCTCTAGAACCGGGCTGATTCAGTCCTTCCTCTCTATGATTGCCTGATATTTGAAGACTGCTAGCCTGTCTCTTCCTAGGTCTTCTCTCCAATTCCACTGATGATTATAGAGTATAATTTCTAGACCCAACAACATTCTGTTCTGCCCATTTACTCTTAACAAAAGAAAGGGGCTGTGCGCCATGGCTCACGCCTGATATCCAATCACTTTGGGAGGCCAAGGTGGGTGGATCACCCGAGGTCAGAAGTTCAAGACCAGCCTGGTCAACACGGTGAAACCCGTCTCTACTAAATATACAAAATTGGCCGGGCGCGGTGGCTCAAGCCTGTAATCCCAGCACTTTGGGAGGCCGAGGCGGGTGGATCACGAGGTCAGGAGATCGAGACTCCTGGCTAACATGGTGAAACCCCGTCTCTACTAAAAATACAAAAAACTAGCCGGGCGAGGTGGCGGGCGCCTGTAGTCCCAGCTACTCGGAGGCTGAGGCAGGAGAATGGCGTGAACCTGGGAGGCGGAGCTTGCAGTGAGCCGAGATCGCGCCACTGCACTCCAGCCTGGGTGACACAGCGCGAGACTCCGTCTCAAAAAAAAAAAAAAAAAAAAATTAGCCCCGCGTGGTGGTGGGCACCTGTAATCCCAGCTACTTGGGAGACTGAGGCAGGAGAATCTCTTGAACCTGGGAGGCAGAGGTTGCAGTGAGCCAAGATCACGCCATTGCGCTCCAGCCTGAGCAACAAGAGTGAAACTTCGTCTCAAAAAAAAAAAAAGAAAGAAAGAAAGGTATACTATTAATTTTATTTCATAAAAGATAAGAAAGCACTTGGAAATTTTCAAAGTACGGGAAAGCTATAAGGCCTGATTATATTCCAGACTCTGGTCCCAGCCATTCCTCATCTGCTTCCCTAAGTTAATTCAAATTCAGTTTCACCATCATACTGGGACCCCCACCTGATGTGGTTTCTTTGCCCATTTTTCAAATATGTATTATTTGTGGCTTACATTAGCATCTTAGATTTCACTCTGACTTCCTCACCAGTCGGTCTTAATCTGCTATAATATGGCCATCACTCTGTATGGTTGAAACTGTTGGTATCCAAATTACAAGTGACTTAATGTCTAAATCCACTGGATGCATTCTACTTGTTAATATATTTGACACACATAAACACTCACACTGACACACATAAATACTTCTTAAAACTCTCTCCTCCATGGGTTGGAACTATAGCCTCTTGGACTTTTCTTTCCCTACTCTAACCCGTCTTCTCAGTTTCCTCCAAAGACTCACTTTCCTTCATCTACTCATTACATGTTAGTGTTCCCCAAGGTTCCGCCTGTTGTCCTGTCATCTTTATACTCTAACATCCTTGGTGATCCCATCTACTACTCCTGTGTTCGCTACCATGTTTGGTGCTGATGGCATCCATGTCTGTGTCCCAACACCAGATCTCCCTGAGATGCTCCAGAAATACATATGCTACTATCTTTTGGATTTTTATATATATATATAATTTTCTTGGATTTTATATAATGTATCCAAAGATAGTTTATATATAAACACCTGAATCAAAACTTACCATCTCATGAAATTTCTTCTTCCAGTTCCTATCTCAGTGAATGACATGTCCTGTTAGAAAATCACCATATTTTACTTGTCTCCATCATTCTCCATGTCCAGTCGAGTCAATTCTTACTGATTTTATCGTCCAAATATCTAAGTAATTCACCTCTTCTCCATCTTTATCTCTGCCTCATTGCTTAATTCTTGTCCTTATTTGAAGGTAGGCTTTCTAAAATATCCTCTTACTGATGTTCCTGCCTCCAGTTCCTTCCTTTTACTGTTAGCAGTATAATCTTTTTTAAACCCCAAATTTAGCACATCACCCCAACTTAAATTCCTGACTGCATTCAGGTAGAAATCAAAATTCCCCACTAGAGCCCATAGGGCCTTTAATGATGTGGTCTGGCCTACCTCTCCAGCCTCTTCTCTCACCACTGTTCCACCCTGTATCTTCTACTTCAGTCTTACAAAACTATTTCATAAAAATTTTCTCGCTTCTCTGCCTTTGCGCAGGCTGTTTGATATGCCTGGACTAACCCCCACCATTGATTCTTTTCTTGGCAATATCTATTGTAAAACTTATCATCTTGGCCTGGAAACAATCCATGACTACTACTGTTCTGGATTAAGTGACTTTTTAAATGTTCCTGTAGTTCTTTGTATAGACCTCTCTCAAAGCTGTCATATAACATTAAGTTGTCTATTTTATTTGTGTGTTTGCCCCTTTACACTGTGAGCTTCTTAATGGCAGGGACCATTTTTTATTTATTTTTGTGTCTTCAAAACCTGGCACACACTAGGTGCTCTATAAAGATTTGTTAAATTATTTCTATGGTTATTTATTTTAATCCCACCCAGAATGTATAAAAATAATTTACTATATTGTTAGTGAAGAAGATTGTATCGAAATGCAGTGTACAATCCTTAAGGTATGTGGGATGCTTGATAGTAATACAAATATATGAATAATTGTTCCAGTCTTCTCGAAACCTGTAAGAGGGAAATAGGAAAATAAAAATGTTTTGTTTTATTTTTTTGAACTCTTGAAAATAAACTTAACCTCAGAAATATCACTTATTATTTTGAATTATTGAATCACTCCCATCAGTTTTAAGTATTAGCTTTGCAAATTATGTGAATGAACATTAGCTTCTATTTTTTTAGTACTACTGCACTAAAATAACTCTAACAAATTATGTGCTATGATCACAGTCTACACTGAAAGGAAACCTTTGGAACTTAGTGATAAATTTATGGTATGGGCTTAGAATAAACCATGCATTTATCAGGCCAAGCCATTGGCATCTGAAAACATGAGTAGGTGGAGCAGCATGGAAGGAAGGAATGTTCTCACTCATAGATAAAATAACATGTTAAGTGTGCACCCTGTGTACAAGAAGCAAGATTCTTGGGGAAGAGTATTAAGGAACTTTGAGTGTTTTTAATCATTTTAAGATCTAGTATTTAGAAAAATAAATTTAGAAACCTTTTTTTAGTTTCTTCTGGTTTATAACCCAATCTTAGACCAGAACATAATCATCATTAAAATCTCTATGAATATAAACTTTCAACCTGAGGACACTTGCATATGTACAAACCTAACTTTAAAACTATGGCTGGGTGCAATGGCTCACACCTGTAATCTTAACACTTTGGGAGGCTGAGGCAGATGGATTGCTTTAGCTCAGGAGTTCAAGACCAGCCTGGGCAACATAGTGAGAACTTGTCTGTACTAAAAATTTTAAAAATCAGCCAGGTGTGGTGGCGCATGCCTGTAATCCAAGCTACTCGGGAGGCTAAGGTGTGAGGATTGCTTGAACTCGGGAGACTGAGACTGCAGTGAGTCATGATCGCACCACTGCACTCCAGCCTGGGTGACAGAGTGAGACCCTATGTCAAAAGAAAAGAAAAATGTAACATACCCCTGACCACTTTAACTTCATCTTTGCTTTGACTTAATATCATGTCTTCTCTCCAAGACTTCAAATGCCCTAATAATATTAACAAAAAGTAAGATGAGTAGTAACTTCAGGAAATGGATTGGGAAGAATACATAAGATGGAAGATCACACA